GTGTCTGGAAGCTTGACTGAACTACCCTCGAGATTTTTTTCTGCCCCCCCCCCCCCATCTCCAGTTGTAAACCTTGCCTTATCAGGTGAAGTACCTTATTTGAAAAATACTTCCTCCGTAACTGGCTTCTGACTTTAAGGTCTAGAAAGGGGAAATAAAATAGTATAAAGGTTATCTGAGGCCTTAAAACTGAGTGATTTGAAGAAAAGAATCCTGCTGTAGGCTTACTGTATGCTGTAGTCTGCTCTCAGCAGGTATATTATCAACTTTTTCTCATTTCCTTTTTCTTTCATGAATTTCTCAGTTAATATTTTTACCTTTCAGTAGATATTGGTTGTTGTAGGGATATGAGGGATGAGCATTGTTATTTTAGTTTTATTTCCTTATTTGTATTAGATCATAAACACTGTTTGAACAGAAGTCTCCATCTACTGAGGGTTAGTGATTTAGATGACTTTCAAGTTACCTGAATGTATTATCCTGGCCATTTTGAATGTGAAGGAGTTTAAGCAGATCCATGCATTAGTCTTGTTTAAAATGGGAAGGTGGATTTGGTGTTTGAACAGCCAGTCTGTGGATTAAATGAATCTTAAAAGCATTTTGTTTGGTGTTTAAGAGTTGTCAGTGATGGAAAAACGAATATGGCTGTCATGAAGTGAATTTAAACACTGGCTTATTAATAGGCATTAATATAATTGCAAATGTGGAATGACCATCCAATGTATACCTTGCTGTAGGGGTTTTGCTGTTGTTGATACTTGACCATGTTATGTAACATGTCAGGAATGATCTGGGAAAGGTCATAAAATTGTTATCCATTGAGTTTGTAGGCAGTTGAAATCCTAGGGGCAAAAATGCATGCATAATTATAGGAAGCCAGGCCTGTGTATTTGGAATTAGTATGGGGTGTGGAAAAGAAAACTAGAATCCGTGGGTCAGGGCAGGCAATTGGCAGGTTTTGGCAGTCAGTGTGCTGTGACCAAAAGGGTCAGAATGTATGCATAGTGTTATAGGTCATGTAAGACCTCTTGCTGTTAGACTGTTTGATCTGATCTGGTAGAATACAGTATCCATCTGGGACATTGTTGTGGTTTGACCCCATCTGGCAGCTCAGCCCCACGCAGCCACTCGCTCACTCTTCCCTGGTGGGATGGGGGAGAGAATCAGAAGGGTAAAAGTGAGACAGCACGTGGGTTGAAATAAAGGTAGTTTAATGGGTACAGCAAAACCTGTGCACACCAGCAAAGCAGAACAAGGAATTAATCCATCACTTCCATGAGCAGGCAGAGGTCCAGCCATCTTCAGGAAGGCTGGGCTGCATCACTCCTGGTGGTGACTTGGAAAGACAAACACCATCACTCTGAACACCATCACCCCCTTTCTCCTTCTTTCGTCTTAATGCTTATAGAAGGCATATCTGTGTGTGGTCCTTTCTATGGTATTTAAAAACTAAGTTAGTTAAATAGTTTGGTCAAAAGATTTGGCTTGGCTGGGTCCTCGTCTGATGTGATTTTTGACAGTTTTATTCTTGTATTCTTCCTAATGTTTTATCTGACTGTCTTGGTCAAAGATAAAGATTGCATCAATAAGAGAGTGAACTTCATCACAGGGAGAGTCTCTGCAGAGTTATAAATGTTGTTTGCCTGGAGAGTAAGGGCATATGGGAAATATTTTTTCCAATAAAGCCTTGTTCAGTGTCTATATATGCCTGTTGCATAATGTTTAAAAGACAAATCTCAATATTTCTAAGGTAATATCTTTCTAAGTGGTTGCATTTTTAGATTTAAAGAGCTGTAAGCATGTGCAAGTTTGAATTCATGTGCATGTGACATGATTAGAAAAGTGGGTTATGTTAGTATTATAGAAGATGATTCAGCATGCAGACCTTATTATTTGGTGATATATTGAAATATAAAAATAACTTTGCTTGATATTTGAATCTCAAAATTCAGCTTTGATTTTTGCAGTTGCAGAATTGGGAGTGCTGTGTGGAGGGGATGTTTGTCATCCAGTGTCTCTGAATAGGGAAATTATTCTTTTTCACATCAAGATAAAATTTGACAGTCAGTTCTACAGCTGACTTGCCCATAAATATCGGAATAAAGATCACAGGCCACATACAAGTCAGACTGCTCTTGAAAACCTGGAGTAAACTGTTTCCTGTGGCAATCCCATGGGAGCTCCTTGATGCTCTTACTTGTATTGGAGTTTTCAAATATATTGTGAAATGAGCAAACCACCTCTATTTCATTTGTTTGGTTTGAGTGGTTTTTTTTATTTATTTTTGTTGTTGTTGTTGTTTTGTTTTGTGGGTTTTTTTGGATGTAAGATTTTTACAATCAAGAAGTTGAGTTCATAATAAATTAGCTTAAAAATGTTAGAGCACCTAAGTTTTTTCCTCACTTTTTATTTCTCTAGGTTAGTTTATTGTTAACCATTAGGAGAAAATCTCTCTGGAGGGTGTCATGGCTCCCTCCCTCTTCATCATTTGCTGCTGCTGAACATACTGACCATGAGCTGCTGAGTGTGGCTTCCTGTCAGAATTGCTTCATGTAAAATCACAAGGAAGCAAATGCTTCTCGTATCCTCCCATTGTGTTGTTTCCTGTGAAGTAGCAGACTGGATGCATGTCCTGGATACAGGCTTTTTTATGGCACTATACGTGTTGGGATGGTCCAATCAAATTGGTTTTGGTATCCCCTATAGTCTCAGTATAGCAGGAAATGAGGCTTCCTCGCATCCTGTTGTTCTCAAGTTAGCCTGGTATTGGAGAGCTCTTGGCTCTGTCAAAATCCAGAATGAAGGTGAGCTTAAAATGGTTTTAGGGTTGGGTTATTTTTAAGTTTTTGTAAGTTTAAGCTGTATTTTGTAACCTTTTCCTTAAACATTCCTTTCCTTAATCATTCTTTCTCTCCCTTGTAGTCCCTTTCTGATTCCATTCTGGTGTCTGCATGAGCACCTGTCTCATGTATTTCCTTGTTTAGTATCAAGACCAGTCTTTCATGATTCTGTTCACACTTCAAATTTCCTTATGTAAAAACTACCACTGTAAGCAATGAAAATTTCACACTCCTGAGACTTTTTTGTTCCATAACAGCTTTATTTGTTCCCCGAATTTGCACAGTGCTTAGGCTGATCTCCAGTCTAGTTTTGCATTTATAAATTATGCTGTTAATAAAACCTATCATGTCTTTATTGGTTTCATGAAGTCAGATTATTTCTTATTTCCTTAATGCCTTTTTTGTGTATTGAGTCTTTTAATACTTCCTTGTGTTTCAGAAGAAAACTTACCAAATTCATACCTAGGCAATTCCCTGGTCCCTCTCCTTTCTCCTTACAGCTTCAACTAACTAAGAGTAGTCACTTAAATTATCTGTAGCCCAGTGAAACCTGTTGAAATAATTATTTGACTTATTTTATGTGAGTGATAACTGCTTGGAGTAAACTAGTGTGCACCTCTGCTTAATTCTGTGTCTGTTCTGTGGCATTGTTCTTCTGAGCTGTGCACACACTACTCGAGCTTAAGAGATGTCGGTACCTGTACAGCCCAGGTAGAACTGCTGCGCCTGGGACCAGAGATGGTCCTCAGTCTGAGCGGGGGAAAAATGTGCACGATAACCTGTTCGAGTACCTCAAATACCGTGGATGCACTGGGAGGAGTTTTTGCTTACTAAGTAATACTGTCATTAAATGTTTCCTAAATCTCTTCTACCTTTCTTGGGATATTACATAACCAGTCACAACTGGTCTGGCAGCCCCTTCTGTGATTATTTAGGTAGAATCTGTTAAAATTTTCCCTTCTCTTGGGTTCAACTAGCCTTCCTTTGTTTCTTTCTTGCTCTTCTCTTGGGAATAGGGGTTTTTCCTCTCCTGTCTTGGAAGGCTGCTTTCTGGGGTATGGACTTTCTGATAGTGCCTGGGCAATGGATTTGTTATCAGGAAAATGAACATGTTTTTGTTGACTTTTTAGATAAAAAGCTCTATGCTGTGGGAAACTAAATCTCTTTCTGTTTCTTAAATCAGTTGGAAGAACTGTAGTAGCTGTCTTTTATTGTCAGCTTTCTAGTCTTGCACAAAGAAGTACTGTGACTCCTTCCAACCCTTGCAGAATCTGTTGTAAGAGCTATTTTCATGAGACTTTGGATGAGTGTTTCCATTACCTCAGGCAAATATTATGGGTCTCTTTTTTCTTTTTTTTTTTTTTTTAATCTTCTCTTTTCCCCCCAAAATTCAGATGTTTAATGTCGTCACCCAGTGCTTGAAAGTTACTAGAGCGTTTTCTACAAGATAGTTTGAGGTTTGGATCTCTTTCCCACAGTTAAAAAATTAAAAATAAATTAAAGCTCACCTTTCATCCCTCTGCTTCCCAAACCTCATTCTCCATCTAACCTATCCAGAAACTGCATTTGTCTTAAAATTCATTAGTGTTCAGGAATGCCATTTTCCTCTTTCTTGAAGAGTAAAGAGATAGCATGTACATTGTAGTACTTCTTTAAGTATTTGTAGTAATTTTAAAATGACTTTGTGAATAATCAGGTACAACATCTGTGCACTGCTTCAGAAGAAGAAGAGTATGCCAAGAGTAGTGGTACCCAGTAACTATTTTGGCCAAAATGTCTGAGGAAAGCTTCTATCTTCTGATAATTGTGTCTTTTTCAACTTTGTTGGAGCTTAAATGAATGTTGATATTTTTACTTCCTATGTTCTTAACTTTTTTTCAAGTTCAGCTGTTGCTATATTATCCTTCTATTTAAAAATAACTTGGTTTGGTTTTGTTTGTTTGTTTGTTTTGGGGGGGTTTGTTTGTTTGGTTTGGCTTGGTTTTTTTTCTTTATGGGAAAAAATCCCTCCACAGTTTTGCTGGTCCATAACAGTCACTAAAAGACTGTTACCTTGATCGTGGAATGGCTTCTGCATTCATGGTTTGCATGATAGTATAGAAATGCTTAGTTTAAAGGCTTATTTCTATGACTTATTGCCTTTTTCTTGTTTGTTTTTAGACTTTTGATGCAAATGACCTGTATCAGGGACAGAATTTCAGCAAAGTTCTCAGCTCTCTTGTGGCTTTAAATAAGGTGACTGCAGGTAAGTAGACTACTCTGTCTTGGTGTTGACTTACAATTAATTTCAACTTGCATCAGTGTATATTTATACCTGTTGCTGTACCCATGATGAAATGAGCGTGTCCAGCATTTTAAAAGAGTTTTTGTTGGAGTTCATGTTTTTAACACTTTGGCAGTGATCTCTTTGGGTTCCCCAGTGGTGTCTTCTGCAGAAGGAAGCTTTGCGGTAGAGCTGAGACTAAGCCTTTAAGCTGGCAAGCAATCTTAGAAAAAGGGCCTGTTTTTTTGGTTGTTTTTTCTATTTTTCATCCCAGTTTGAAATACTAAAGATAACTTTTGCTCTATTCTGTCATTCTCATGTTTGAACAGTTTTGTCAGAATTTTTTGCCCTCCTCACTCTCTATTCCCCAGCACTACCCTTTCTTGCCAGTAACAAAAGAATAGCCAGTGTCTTTGATCCCTTAAGCCACGTGTTTCACTGAGGTAGCAGCTAAAAGTCATGAACCATTTGCCTCAAGTTCTTTGGTGGGAGGGGAGAGAGCTGTAGAAATAACACACGGGTGAGAGGTGTCCATCCATCCTTGTAGGGTGAGGCTGTGCTAAATGATGCCAACTGGACCCAAGGACAATCAAGAAATGTTAACGTTGGTGACCCTTTTGGCTTCTTGCTGCTCCACCGTCAGCAGCAAGTTTCAGTAGTGATCATCAGGTCAGAATCAGGTGAGAGAGATTTAAAGATGAACCATACTTGTCAGTTTTTATGTGAGGAAGAAAAGTGATAGAAAAGTCAGTGGTGGATCAGTGTTACTTCATTTAATGCTAGTGTGATATCTTGCCACTTTTATAATACTTCTTTCATCTATTTCAACATAGATTTTTGGGTTTTGGTGGCTTTTTCTTTCCCTTGCATTAGAAAGCACCCCTTGAGTTTTGCAAGCGGATTCTTAGATTTAATGAATGGGCATGAAGTAACAACCATTGACTTCTTTTAAGCTACTTAGGTCAGTTGGAGATACTGCCTCTTATCTGCAGTGTAAGTGCAAACGCAAACCAGAGTAGTACATCTTTAAAACTGCTGTACACTGTAGCTGCTTTTGCTGTCTTTGAAATGGAGAAAAAGTGCATTTATTTTGTCCAGATGTCAATAGATTAATGCCCACAGGAGAAAGCCAGTTGCAGCTGGCTTAGAAAGGACTCGGGTGATCCCTTTCATGGGGGGGTGGGTGGTATGGAAACCAAAAATCGAAACCACATGCAGACTGTGGTGGTGCCTCATTCCTAGGAGTGAGCATAAGTCTTCCTGTTCAGCTCTTCTTCCAAACCATTTTCATTACCTAGGTGATTGTGTAGAAGACGTTTTAGACTCTATCTCCCTGGTCTAGTGTTGGAAGATGGCTTTCAGATCCCTGTGCGGGTCTGCAAGAATTTCAGGCATACACAGGTTCTTCTGAGATGGGCCTTCCTGCAATACAAGGAATGTGAGTAATGAGCATGATTACTGGTGGAAGGCTGCTGTGGATGTTCACTCCATCAAATTTTTAGTCTCAGGAGGGGTGGAATCAAGGAACCAATTGCTGTTTGTAGACAATTGAGGGGAGAGGAACTGATGTAGGGAAGTTGAGATAATGGTAAGAGGGAGAAAGGGTTTTGCAAACCCTGGAAATCTTTATATGGATGGAAGAGTAAAGCTTTTGAGGAAATTACCAAATCAATATTCGTCACACGTGCTTTCTGCTGCCATTCCAGATTCCTGGTTGTTTTAGGAGCAGAGTTGATTTCTTTCTCTGACAATAATTCCATTGAGAAATTCATTGAATATATTTGTTAGGATTTTAAGAGAACCTTAATGGGTACATGGGGTCTGCAAGCCTTTTAAATCTGTCAAAAGTTCAGATTGATTTGAAAGTATTCAGATATTATTGGTAAAAATACTTTCAATTTCCGTGTGGTTTGTCTGTAATAATTTTCTTTGTTTTCACCATGCACAGTTCCTAATTCAAGCCTTAAAAGGTGCTCTTGTGTTGGTGTATTAGCTCTACTGTTGGGAAATAGAAAATTTCAGGAATCTGGCCACACTTAAACAAATGCAATGTAGTGTGTTTTAGGGCTGCCCAGAAGCCAGAACATACTGTCATAAGCCAACCTGATCCTGTTTTTTGAGGTGAACTGTGTTGAGGTATAATGCTGGATTTGTCTGTTCTACTTGACTGCAGTTAGGAAACACAGCAAACTGGACATGGAGAGGTATCAGGTTACTTATAATCCTTAAGTTCTATTAGATAGTGGTGGTTATGGCAAGTTTAAAGTTTCTGGGAGCATTAGAATTATCCATATAGTTATGATTTACAAATTAAGCCCATGATCTAGTCCCGTTTCTCTACTGGTGGTCTGTGAAAACAAAGATGTATGTCCTTTCCATAATGGACTGTAATCATCAATGTTTATCTTAATACTGTGGCCTTTAAATGCTTTTAGGAAAGCAGGTTCACAAAGTGTGATGTCTTTTGTTACTTCAATGTGTAAGGATACTATTCATACAAAATAAGCAACTTGATATGTATAGTTCTAATATTGCACTATTTGACTAGGGAGTGTATATTTATAGGGTTTTTTTTTGAGGATAGTGATTTCTGAATGGTAACAATGACTCATTTAAAAAAATGCACCCGAGAAGGTGTTTTTTGCTCAGTTGCTGCAGACTTGGAGCATCCTTTGTCAACACTACTGTGTTTGTTGTCGTTCTCAAACCCTTTCCCTCTTCCTGCATCTCAGCTGCTGTTGGATGCTGTGCTGAAGTTTAAAGGCTTTCCCGTTAAGATGAATCAAGTTGTCCCTTCAGATTTGATGTGGAACAGCAGAAATGCCTTATTCACTGGTCTCCTCATGGATCTGAGCCTTTGTGTTATTTCCCTTGGACAAAAAATAACCTGGATTTGCATAATCATGGTCTACTTTAGTCTGAAAGTAACTATTAGGAGACTGTAGTTGTGTGTCAGAGGTCAAGTGTTGGAAGAAGAATAAACTACTAGGAAAGAGAATAACAGAGACATAAAAACCAGGAGAGCATTTGGGAGGCTTGTGTAGTCTAGTGAAAACATCCAGGTTCGGGACTGAAAAAACTACATTGCTTTCAGGGCTTCTTGAAGCTTAGATGCTCGCTGAGTAATTTACTTGTGTGTGGGAAAATGTGAGGAAAAGGAATGACTTGCCATACTTGTGCAGAGGAGCAATGTTTGACTGCTGTCCTGTGCAAGTGCCCTGGGAGTTCAGCTGTGAGAACTGGGGACAGTGGTACAGCCAGGAGCAACCCCTGTCCCTCCAAAATGTGGGGAGAGGCTCCCAGCAGGGCTGTGGGAGGCCGCAACCAGCGCTGACACTGACCCTGGCCCTTATGAGCTGCTTTTGGTGCAGCCCCTGTCTAGCTGTGGCTTGGTAATCCAAATGAGGACTCCTCACCTGTGGGTGGGCAACAGGGCTGGGGCTGCCCCAGCGCCTTCCATTCCTGGCTGGGATGGTGGGATGAACCCTGCCCTGCTGCTCCCTTGATGCCCCCAGCCCACAAGGGAGCCCAGCAGCCCCTTGATGGCACTGCCCTTCAATGGAACATATCATGTGGGTGTGCTTCACAGAGTAGAGACAAACGAAAGAGGGGAGAGGTTTAAGGAGGGTTTTTGTTTATTTGAGCAAGCAGTTTTTCTCCTCTCTATTCCTATTCCTCCCTCCAAAGAAGAAAAAATAGCTTAGTTGGCAAAAAGAGAGATGAGACAAAGAAATTTAGGGAAAAAAACAGTGGAAGGAATGTTTTAATTGAGATGGAGATGGTGAAGGCGTGGGGTGTGGTGCTGCGGGAAGAGCTAAGAAACAGATGTGGCTGGCTTCACTTCAAGCAAGTTTTATGCATTCAAAGTTCTTGTCCACCAGCTAAAATGATGCTGGTTAATTACCTTTAAATAGACTGGTAGTGAGTAGGAATAGAGAAATAGAACCCTAACCCTCCTCTTTCTAAACAGCCCAAGTTGTTTTCTGTGGCACTAAACCTGCATTATATGGGAAAAACTGTTGTTTAAACATGTCTTAAAATGGCTTTTGGTGGTCTCTTTGCAAACACGTGTTTCTTCTTCCTAAGACCCCCCACGGTAGTGTTATCTCAGGAATGTCCTGGGAAGATGTCCTAAGGTGTTTCATTGGACCTTGTAAACCCCTTCCTATTGGCTGTTGACCCTTTACCTGATGGTTTTTTCTGTGACCCTGAACTTGTGATTGGTTCCCCTTTGACCCTCCTAAAAGCCTTATAAACCCCTTCCCAACAATAAACTCTCTCTTGCCTCCTCTCCACGGTGTGCTGTCTCTGTGCCTGCCATGGGGCCACGTGGGTGCTGGGGGGAGGGGAGGGCACCTCTCCCCTCCAGGCTCAGGGCCAGAAACCCCTGAGGAAACCCCTGGAGTTCCCTTTCCCCATCCCTCAAGACGTCGGAATGGTTCTTCAGATGGAGATGGAACTAGAACTGGGCCTCCCCATGTCGTGAGTGGGGAAGGGGATCCAGAGTTTTCCTGTCTGTGTGGGGAAGAAATTGGCAGTGTCTCAGGATTTTAGATTATTTATGGCTATAATTTTTTGAATCTTGAATTACCGAGCCACTGCAGATGTATCAAATCTGGTTTAAGCATGTGAATTTTACAGAGGTAAGCAGAAGTTAAATGCAGATTTTTTCAAATTCTTATATTTACCTTTTTTTCCACTCTTCTACAGACATAGGACTGGGCAGTGACTCTGTGTGTGCACGTCCCTCATCTCATCGGATAAAATCTTTTGATTCTCTGGGATCCCAGTCTTTACACAGTAGAACTTCAAAACTCTTTCAGGGACAGTATCGGAGTTTGGTAAGTTCTGGAAGAACGAGACATGCTGCAGTGTGATTTTTTTTTTTTTTTTTCCTTTTGCCAAGTTTTATAAGTAACCGATAGTGTAGCAGATTAACTGTTTCCTCTCTTTCACCACTGTATTTCTAGCCTGTGACATCATGTTTTTGCAGCTTTTCTTATGATGTTCCAAAATGCATGCAGCTTTCTGTGAACTTCTAGTAATTTTTTTCTTTATTTAGCTCTGCATGTTGTCTGCATACACAGTGTCTTAATGGATTTGTGTCTTTCTTTTTCCAAAGGCAAGAATCTCATTTTCTCTCTCACTGAATTTAGGAGTGATATTGAAGGATATTCAAACCTCAGCAAAGGTGGTACTTTTAATGTTGGCAGTAGTAGTAGTTATTCCTGTTGTCTGTTATGTTTTGAGGTTAATCCTTCAACTGGCCTTCAGGTAACTGGTGTGGACAGTTGTTTTATAGTACAGCTGAAATCAGGGTTGAGTACCTCATAGAAACTGAACTGTGATAAAAGGTGCTTTTAGTGACTGAAGGTTTGCAAGGAGGGTTCAGATCCCTACTGAAACCTGCTTTTTCTGTGCTTGAAAGAGGTTGTCTTGAATGGTGTGATGATTACTATGTGTAACTTGAAAAGCCATGCTCTGCTTAAGCTTTCTTAGGTGCAGTTTGTTTTCTCTGTGCAAGTTTTTGCCCTAGGCCACCAATTCCAGCTCCTGTTCTGCTGTTCACAACCCACTCAGTTTTGCTGGTGCAGCTGTTTGTGGGACTAGCTGTTAGCTGGATCACTGAAGTGATCAGAGCTTTAAGTATTTCTATCGCTTTGTTGATCTGAGTTGCTCTGCACAAAGTTAGAAAGAGCTGAGAAGTGTAAGAAGGAGGGAAAGAGAGCTAGTAGCCAAACCCAGGAAATTCTTAGTTTGGTTTTGTTGCTGTAGATGATCAGTTTGGAACTGTTCTCACCAAATTTATACTCAGTTTCCTTTGCTGGAAAGCCATTCTGACAGAGCAGAGGGACTATAGTTGATCTCACTGTGCAGTGTTGCTGCTTGTTTTGTGGCTTTTTACTGTTTACTAAGCCAAAAGATTTTCTCTTGTTGAGTAGTCAGAGTGGATGAAAGCACATGATGTACCAGCAGAGGACTAAGGCAGAGGTACCTGTTTGAAAATGTGCCAATTTTATTGTCAAACACTGTGACTTACAGTATCTTGGGGCTTTCTGCATGTTTTTGAAGTTGTTTGCCCTCATTTTCCTATAGTTTCTCAGCTCCTAAGTCTGATGGTTAAATTGAGTTGTGATACAGTAACAAGATTACTGTGGGTATGAATTAAACTGCTGTGTTACAAGATTCAAGTGACAACATGCAGTACACCTTTTGATCATCTCAACTATACAGGCAGCATGTAGGTGAAAATCTTCTACCTGGATAGCTGACTAGGATTGCTTACACAATCATCTTCTCACTAAGTTACTTTTTTAGTTACACAGGTAATCCTTAGTTGTAGACAGACATGATTTGTAGTCCTGTTCTCTTAATTCCAGTGCAATGTATTTAATGCTGTCCAACTATATAGCTTTTCTAGTATTAAGGTTTTTCCTGACTCTCACGAAATGCTTGAATGGTGCAGATATTCAAAATTGACATCTATGAACAAAATGCTAAATTTGAATGTCATTAATTTGAAAGACTTCTTAGAAGTATCTATTAACATTTAGTTGTTATGACAGAGCAATAGTTTGTCTTCACATTTGTGATAGGGGATGAGCATGCATAAATATCATTATATGGACAGCTGCAAGTCTGACATGCTGCAGACTTCCAGCTTTACTAAGCTTGAGAGAAATGATTTGTGAGTACTTGTTTGAGGTAAGTTGCATAATTGTTTTGTAGGTTTTGTGAAAGAACACTGTCCTTCTTCATTGTCAGGCCATGGAGACTTGTACATTCAGCTGTGGAACCTTCCAACTTGATCTGTTACAGGAGAAAAAAAAGAAGGTTTTAAGCTGAAAACTCTATTTATATCCAAAATTAAATTAAATTAAATTAAATTAAATCCAACTCATTTTCTCCTCCCAGCCCAGTTTTTTAGAAAAAGACTCTTCAATGTAAAACTCTTGGTTCTTTGTAGATACCAAAGGCAATTTATGCAATTTATAGAAAATATATGTGTTTTCTTTATTATTCTCATTTTATTTTCTTTATTACTCTCATTTTAGCTCTGTTAACCCCTTCTGATTTGAAAGGGCTCTAATAAGACAATATACTCCCTGGGCTGATGAGAATTCATAGATTAAAAATTAGAGAAATACTACAAATGCCAAATCAGTCCTTATAAAAGCTTTTCAGTAAAAATGTGTGGTGAGTATTGTGTGCAGAGGAGAGGCTATTTCCATTTTCTGTTTTCTTCATGGAATAATGTTTAAATCTCTAATGTGATCATTTTGTTCTTTGTGTTTTCACTTACTAGGACATGACAGATAACGGCAACCATCAGTTGGTGGTGAGAGCAAAATTTAATTTTCAACAGACAAATGAAGATGAACTTTCTTTTTCAAAAGGAGATATTATTCATGTTACAAGAGTGGAAGAAGGAGGCTGGTGGGAAGGAACTTTAAACGGAAAAACAGGGTGGTTTCCGAGTAACTATGTACGAGAAATAAAATCAAATGGTGAGTTTTGAATGGGAGAGCATATTTGCAGAAATTCTTGCTTTGGATAGAGGTTGATAGTTGGTTGATTCATTAAAAATGGTAATGATTTTTGTTTAAGCTTGACAGTATTTACTGAACTTCATTCACAGCGATCATTAATCCTCAGGAACTCATACTTCAACACCCCAGTTCACTATATAGAGTGTTCTGAGGCTTCTAAGTTATCAGTAAGCATGCAGAAAACTTCCCATTTCGTTTGCCTGTCTATCTGTCACAGTTGGGCTGCTCTGAGTTCCTTGGTCTGAATTCCTAGAATACGGAATTTTGACTCAGGTGCTGACATATTTTGAATTGGTGCTTTGTGTTTAAATAGTGAGAGATTTCCTACAAATCTCTTTAAAAACAACACAACAAAAAAACGTACCAGAAAGAAACCTCAAACCAACCAAAAAAACTACAGCAAAAAAATTACTCAATACATCCCATTACTTAGAAGCAAATAGTTGCAGGAAGGAAACCCAGTTCTACCAAAATCTACTTTTGAAAGATAATGTATTTGTGATTTTTCTTTTTCTTTCATGTTCATGCGCCTTCAGCTTTTCTTCATAGAGGCTTCACCCTTCCACTGAAGTTTTATTTTAACCTTTATACAGTGAAATTGCCTTCTGTAAATGTCATCTGAATATCAAAACTAACATTACTGTCTCCTTTATTTCCCTTTTTTTTTTTTTCCCATATCTTTCCTGTCTCAGCTTACTTTCAGAGATTAGGAATAAACCCGGTATGATAAAACCACCTAGGGACTCTGGGAGGCTTTATCACTCTTTCCCATGCCACAGCTCCAGTGAAAATACACATCTTTTGAGGCTGTGCTAAAGTCATTGGCATGGCTTTTTTCTTTTTTTTTTAGGCAGCCATACAGATGCCTGATTGCAAAGTGAGGTTGTAAGGGTGAAACTCCACTTTTTAAACTTACTTTTCTCCTCTGGTTGCATCCTCTTATTTTCTTCCCTGATTTACTGTGTACGGTCCGTTGTTGCAAAATGCTGGTCTTAGATCTGCGACTTCATTGTCCTTTTCAACTAGATTCTCTTAGACAATTCTCCTAGTCACAATGTAAGACTTAGCTTTAATGTTCTTCAGAGATTAATCAGATCTTGACAAACAATTCATGAAGCTTGTTTTTTGTCTATAGTGTTGTAGCATCAGTCATGATGACCCTCTTGTCCCATCATTACTCAATTAAATCAGTGTGGCAGAGGTCTTGTTTGGATTTCGTGAGTTTTGATCTCTTCCAACACTTGAAACTGGAACCTGGGTAGGCAGTTAGGCTCCAGAATAGAAATAGCTTTTAACATTGAACATGTAAGAACCAGAAGTTTCCAGTAACTGAAATTAAGGTGGTTCTTGTTTTATTAAGAATACTGCACTTAGGTGAGGTACATCTTGAAGTCAGAAGAGACAACAAGCTGTAGTGCCCAGGTTAGTACCAAGTACAGTTTGATTTTTGCAAGTCCTTGCAGCCCTGTCTGATCCCTGGGGCTGAGATGAGTTACCTCTAGCCTTTAATTTCTAACATTCACTTCTGACCCTCAGAAAAATTTACTCCCAAGTCCTTTTCTCTCTGCTGTATGGGTGTGTTCTCTGTGCTACAGCAGCTTACCTCTTCGGGCTTCTGCGAGACTTCTCGCGTTCTTGGAGCGCTCTCTCATATGTTCAGTTGTTTCTCTGGAAGGCAATGTGTGCCCATGCTTTTTTGTTCTCAGAAAGCTTAGTCCATTGCTTACTACAAATTTAAAATGACTGACCCGTAGCTCACTAGCTGTCTCTGTTCTTCTCCATTGTAAAATTGCTGGTTTTCCTTTTCCGGTACTTTATGACCTTCACTTGTCCTCTCTGGTTTCAGATATGGATGTAGGTATTTCTCTTACTATCAAATCAGCACAGTAGGTACTGTGTAGTTTATCAAAACAGTAATTTTAACCTCCTTTTATGCATTTGTAGGTATGTGTTTGTCTGAAGTTGACTTTTTTATAAGAAAGACAGGAGGGTGGTAGAAGGAAGCATGGCATACCAAGAGCTTCTTGGTGTTTGTTAATAACTGTTGAGTTGCAGATCAGTTTTACCCCTTGATGTATGTATGCTATGGCATGTTTTGTTGCCACTACCCCTTATGTTCATGTTAGTTGTATTTCAACTGGTGACCTGACTTCTAGTTACTTTTACTTCTTTTTGTATGTTTGTGGTCAGTATATATATTTATGATATGTGATCCATGTCAGTTTTACATCTACCTTTCCTGTCCTCTCTTTGAGATGCCTGTAATTTTTAAAGGAGTTGTCATTCTTGTGAGCCTTTTCTGCTTAAGTTATCATTAGTGGCAGTTCTTTTTTTAACCGTATTTTTAAGTTTACTGAATTCTTCCTACTTTAAGATCATTGCTGTAATTTTACTATGCTTTTTTTTTTTCTTCATTTTATTGTGGGTTCCATGAAATTTGTTATGAATGTTTTTATTCTCAACTGATTTCTGCTCTATGAGTATTGTTGACAATGCTAGAGAGAGGGCTTTTCTGTAACTCTTCTCCCTTCTGTATCCTAGTGCATTGCCACTGTGTTTCTTGAGGTTGGACTTCCTTTGCTCTGCTGTTCTTGTCAGAAAAAGGATGTAGTGCTGTTTATTATAAAGCTCTGAAGTTATTTGAACAGTGGATGTTCATGAGAAGTTTCATGTAGGTTATATATGTGTGGGTTTACAGTCTCTATTGCCCTCCTGTGTCCCTGCTCTCTTTAGCTTGTCTTCATTAGGAGGGTTACATGGTCCATTTTTCTCGACTTCTTGCAACTATAAAATCCTCACCTCAGGATTTTCCTAATTCAGAAATATTTTAAGTACCTTCATGCCTTAAGCACAAGGATGAAATATAAAAGTGCTTTTTTCCCTTATGTATTTTAAAACTAGTTAGGAGAATTTGATGTCTTGTTAGCTCAAATTCAAAATGTGTTTTCTGTCAGTGTTACAATGAATTGATTTTAAAAAAGATCAGCATAGAATTCTTAAAATACTTGCTCTTGACTAAGGTCCTGGATATATAATCTGTTTTCAAAATACTTGTAATTTGTTCTGACATTGACAGTATTACTCTACCCTTCTTTCTTCTCTGAAATGTGGCTTAAAATACTGCAACTAGTTAGAAATTCTGTACAGGTTACACTGCTTTCATTTTTGATGATGCATTATTTGGAATGCTCCCAGGAAATGGTGAGTTTGACTAAAGAAATCCCCTCAGTTTGTTGTAACCTTACTTCTGCAAACTAAGTAACAGAAGAAATGAAAGAAGTTCTTTACTCATGTGTGTTTTTATTTTAATTCTCACAAACTTCATAGGCATTAGATGTTTAGATAAATGGATTTTTGTTCTATGTTAAAATCCTCTAATCAGAAAACTGTATATTTCTAGTCTTAGCTTGTAGGGTGTGTTTTTGAAGTTAGATATTCAAGGAAAGGATGAAAAAGCTGCTTAGTAATGGGAACTTTACCCACACTGATTTCTTAAAACTTTTAGAAGAAAAGTAAACTGCATTACATCTGTTTCACAGGCAGAGCATGTTACATGTTTAGCTATGCCAGAATGATCAGTATTAGCACAGAATTCTAATACATGCATGAGATGAGCTGTGAGTGGTTGTAGGACAGATACTGAGATTATGGAGCAAAGCACAACATTTAGTTTCCTAAACCTCTAACATCTTACCTTTTTTAATGTTCTTTGATCACTAATCAGGAAGTACTTTGAAACGAGAGGACTTTGTTTGCATCCTGCTGTACTGTTATACATGACAGACGGTAAAAGGTAAATACTGTGTAAACTTGTTAGATATTTGTCAGTGTGGCCTTACTGAGGTTTTTTTTCTTAAAGTGGAGCAGGAGTGGGGGGAGGTGTAGGTGGAGCCTTGTCTCTTACGTTGCTGTTTCTGTCTTGCACAGTAGAGAGATTTGGAGACCTAGTTTTGAGTGTTCTCTTGCAGAATGGGATGCACTTGCTTAGCTACTGTCAGATGTTAATCAGATTTTTAAAAATATCACATGGTCACTTGATGAATTTTATCCAAGCATAAGCCCTTTAAATGGCATGAGGTTATGCAAAAGGGAATAAAGCTTTGTAAAAATTACATTTGATATGTCACCAACTTTATCCTAATTCTTCACAGAAATTAACGTGTCATTACTATCCTAGCCTCTTTTCTGTTATGCTTTCTTGACAGTTATATTAGTATCGGCACTGGTGCAAGCTACAGTGTCAGTCATTCTTCTGGTTGGATGTTAAAAAAAATAAAAAAAATCAGTGTTGGGAAAAGGTCAGAATATAGTGGAAGTGTAGAACATCAGCTGTTTCCATCCTGTGGTGCGTAAGGGAAGGACAGATGCACTTTTAGCTTTGAGGAAAAGAAAAAAAGGGAAGGAAAAAACAAATAATCCCCCCAAGGAATATTAGTTTTTCTCTCCCCAGCCATGTACACTTGGAGGGGTATTTTGTTCTCTCGTCGAGTATTATTCTATAGGCATAAAGAGGTTGGGACCAGTAAATACTCTTGGGGAAGAACTAGTGTCCATATTGCAGAGTGGACCACTTCGCAGCAATGCTTGAGCCAGCTTGAGAACTGAGAACAAGTTGAGGTCTGCCCTCCTGCTGTTGGACATGAACCAATTAGTCTAGAAAGACAGGGTTTGCTTGTAGCACTTCACTAATAGAGACCACATAGCTTTTGGTGTTCCAACTGGCACATCTTTCCTTCCCTAATGTAGGATGAAATAGCTCAAATCAGATCTTTTTATCTGCATTACACACCATAGCCTAGTGATTGCAGAAACACACGGTGCTGTTCTTGCAGTAGTAGCGTTGAAGTGCTTTAGTAAAGTATGTTCTGAAGGCAGTGAATACTTTGTGGAGTAGCATGAAGTAGAGCATTGCATGAAAATGAATATGACATAAGCTGGAGACATGACAGAAGGGAGAGTATGTGAGAATCTCAAGTAAACTGAAGGCAAGTGAAAGAAATACTTGCATGCAAATTAAAATTGAAACAAAACATTGGAAAGGATTGGGTACATTGTCTCTTTGCAGTCAATTAGTAGATGTTTGTAAAGGATAAGAACATTTTAGAGAGTACATGCATCTTATGTACTACATAGGGAAAGGTTATAAAAACATTTGAGTTGTTGTAAAAGCTGCTTCAAGTTGTTTTGGTCCTACTGAAGATAATGAATTGCTGGAAGAATAATGTTAAAAAGCCTGTGCCACCCTCCTTCTCCACTCAAAGATGATCTGTTAAGTGAATTCTATCTGGTTTATCAGTAGCCACTAGACACTTCAAAGCATTATCAAGTGTAGCTGAGGGCAGTTGAATGTAATGCTTTGATCACAAAAGAAAGTGATAGTGGTAACTTACCTCCTGGTTTCAGTCATCAACTGGATATGGTCTCTTCCAGTAATTGAGATGCTTGTTTGCTTTGTATCTGATCATACACTGTGCCTGTTCTCATTATGCTTCCAGTGTTAATGTAATGGATTCACATTGTGACTAGGAGAAAAGTGAGGAGAAGGGAAAAATTTGTATGGGAAAACTTGGTGTCTGGCTCAGGTCACTCTCTTCCAGTGCTTTGAGAAACAGAATCTCTGTGTTGTAGTGGGCAAGGTGCCAGGGTTTTGCTAATGTTTCATAAACCTATGGACTTTATAGACATATGGACCTGTAAGATCTGTATGTATTTCCAGTATGCTGAATGGGGGTGACACCTCCTTGAAATGTTTAATGAAATATGCTCTGTTTGCAAAGGTACTCTTAATACTCTTAATAAATAACACTTAACTTAGTGTAAACAAAGAAAGTGATTTCTTATGTGCAAGATCAGGATTTTCTTCTGTGTAATTCATTGTGCAATAAACTAATTGCAACAAGACTGTTTCTTATTCCTCCTTATGAAGCAATGCACCGCTTGAAGGCAGAATACCAGACATGATAGACAGCTGGACTAATTTGCTGCATCTAATTCTGTGCTTCTACAATAGAAGTGGCCTTTACATTTTAAAAACTAAATGTTGATTATGGCTGTTCAGGCAAAATTATTTGAATGTGATTTATTTTTTTTTTCTGTCCCGTTTTTAAATCTGAATTTGGACATATATATGTCTGTGCTGGATAATTGAATCAGGTAAACAGCTGGTAATATAAATGACTGTACATTTCAGCAAAAAAACTCCCACTTTGTTCAGCAGCTTAAAAGGAGAAATGTATTTTTGTACCCTTTACAAGAACCAAAATTCTATGACCAGCCAACTTTCTCCAGATTAACAATGGCTGGACATGTGTATAATGATAAATTCAGTGACAAGTATTTACCTCTATCCTTAAATAACTCTTGTTTCTCCTTTCCAGACATCTGTATTATTATAAATTCAGTGACAAGTACTTACTTTTATGCCTAAATAACTCTGGTTTCCCCTTTCATGCTTTTTGGCACATGATTAATAAAGCTTTAGGTATTTAGTGAACCTGAAAGTCACTGTAAATTGGAGGATAAGTCAAGAGCTTCCACAAAGCATGAAGGCAAAGAACCAAGTTCATGTAAATGACATCATTTTCATCATTCAGTACAAAGAAATGAATTGTAATTGTCCCATAAGGAGTAGCATGATAGATGAATATATAAATGAGTAGCCATACACACAGCATGATTTTAGGTTCTTCTTTCACACTGAGTATTTGATGGCAAATCTGCTTGAGTTTACAGTTTTTTTCTAAGGGGATGGGAGGAGTCCTGTCACTTGGAATTACTTGGCTTTGTAGCAGAGCATGTATGTGCTGCAGGGCTGGTGGCTGAGAGCATCAGTGTTCCCAGCTGGATAACAGCTTGATCTAATAGTTTTTGTGCTGTCTGTTGGCTTAGATCTGACTTGGGGTGGGTAGGCGGGGGATATTAACCAAAAGGATTTTTTTGTCATCTCTGAATGTGGTAAGGAAAAATTGGTTTTGCCCTTGTGTGGCAGTTTTTAGACAGTGTTTTATTTTTAGATTAGCTTTTTTGAGACTTCCAGTGCAATACAGAGAAAAGCCCCTTAAAGATAATAGCACCTGTGTACTCATGAGGCGTGAGCTGTGCCTTATGGACCATTAGCTAAAGCCTCAGGTCCTGCTGGCCTGCCAGGCACTCCTGGCATTGGAGTTGAAAGGATGGCCTTCATCTGTAGTCAGCTCACCTGAGATGGCATTGTCCGTGGGGTTGCAGCTGGGTGGCCTGAAGAAGCACTAAATTTCTCAGGAGAGGATGGTACCATATGGACTGTTCTGCTTGTGATGGCAGTTCCCTGATCAACTTTACTTTCCATGAGAATTTTCCATAGGCAGCCCTTAGAATGGCTGACTGGGCTTCTGGAAAGACAGGTCTGTATTTGAGACTTGCATAATTTATTCTTAGCCTGAGGTATTAGGTAAACTAGAGTTAAATTATTAATATATCTTTATCAAAATGTGTTTGAAACAGGAGCTTGCCTTTAAAATAAAGGTAAAATATCCAGTAGGTATGTTTTGTTGATGGTTTTTTGGTCTGGGGTGGGGGGTGCGGGAAGGGTTGGTTGAGAATTTGCCATTTTATAGTTTGGCTACAAATTACTCAAATGCATATTTGAAAATAGCATATTAGACAAGCCTGATAATTAAAAAAAAACCTGAAAAAAATCCAAAACCACCAAAGCAAACAAACCAAAGCACCATAATGTCCTGTTAAATATGGTCTCACAAGTTGGTTGAGTGCAGAGTCAAATGATGATGCAGCATCATGCTTTTGATTTTTCTCTCACCTCTCCTTTGCTCCAATGTGATTGACTTAAAGGAGTGGTAGTGGTGGGAGGGGAGGCTTTAGGGGTTTGTTTTCTGTGCCTCTCTATTCTGGGAGTCAGCACCTGGGGAACTCTCAGGACTGTTGTTTTGATCTTGTAGACCAATCTTGTACTTTTAGGAAGAGTATCCATTAGTGAGGGATACATTCCCTATGGGATTATAGGAAGGATTGATGTTATGAAGATATTATGAAGAACTCTTTTGTGTTATGAAGAACTTTCTCAAGTGCATAAGCATTTTTATTTTTTACTTCATTAATAGCAAAAGACAATTTGTTTTAAAAGATGATTTTTTGGGATAGACATCAGGTAAGTCACTTCACTAGTGTAGTATTTTGAATCTCTTGTTTCTACCAGAGTGAATGTAATGTCTCACATCTGGTATGTTCAGCCTTTGATTGGTCACTTGCTTTCACTGAGTTCATTAAAATGATATTAAAACTACTTTTGTTTGAAAGTGCCTATAGAGTTTGGAAATGCCTGGGTTTTTTTAATTTTTTTTTTTTTAATTGCAATCTGTGACATTTTGTTTCTAAAAAATAAATTTTGAAAAGCTTAACTGACTTTCTGGTTCCAGGAAAAAGAATGGGAGGTTTTCAACTTGCCTTCAGTGAGGCTAAAGTTTCATTCATTGTGAACTTATGAACCATTTTGATTCTTAACCAATAATTTGAAGTGCAATTTTGTATGTTTCTCAGTGAAGCACTATTTTCACTGTGATGTATGATTAATATTTTAAAGCAGTTTGTTTGACCTCTAGTGTTGAGCTATGAAATTGCACCCTGTTGACCTCAAAATATTTTACATTTCAGAAAAACCGGTTTCCCCCAAATCAGGTACATTGAAGAGTCCACCTAAAGGCTTTGATACTTCTGCAATTAACAAAAGCTATTACAATGTGGTGAGTGATCATTTTTCCTCCATGGGAGCTGTTATATACAGTAGAATGTCATTTAACTAAATGCTCTTATCTGCACAGAAAAAAGGCAGTCTTGTCAGAAAGTGCCAAAACTAGATAGGGGCGTTAGTGGATTCTCATGTAAACAAGTTCATCATTAGTTTAATAGAATATCACACAGATTCTTAAGCATGATGCAAAATAATAGTCTAAAGCAAGTGAATAATAGGCATTAATGTAATATTATGCTAATTTTACTTAGTTTGCTAGTCATTAATTTCCTTGTTCTCCCCATCTCCCAAATATGCAATTAGTGTTCCCCAATCTCTGTGAATTACTGAAATTCTGCTGTGTTAAAATGCTTAAGAATACTGTTGTCCTTTATGTTGAATAAGAGATTGAACATTTTGAAACAATTTGCTTCCTTTGTATTCATGCTTATAAATCAACTCTATTATTAACTTCAGGAACCTCTCCCTTACACTGGTGGATAGATTTCATAGCAAAGTGGTACAGCCAGAGTCAGCTTTTAACACATCCCCAGGAATTCATAACCTGGTACTCAGACCTCTTTAGTAGATGCATGTAAGAAACATACCCAACTCTGACTTTAAATGTGTTGTAACCATTTTGAGAATCATTTATTTATTAAAAGCAGATACATTGGGAAGCAAAAAAGCGTCTTATTGATTTTGTTAAGCACTGCTCCCTGCTGGTGCAAAACCAAACCACAACGTTTCTTTCCCTTTTCTTTGAAGCAGCTGCCATTGTTTTCATTTTATTTGTCAGTTTTTAGCAACGATCATAAAGAATCGTTTTATGCTTTCATCTTGTGTAGTTGTGGCATGAATAACACCAACCACCTGGAAGAACAGAGGTGTTTTGTGTATTGTATCCTCATTGAAAACAGTGAGGCAGCCTCTTGCTCCTCCCTCTGACTTGCCTCCTGCCTCTGCTGGTAGCTGCAACTCCATGGAAAAGGGGGGGCTGCAGTTCTTTGGCTATTGTATCCCACACCTGCTAGTCAGAATGGAAGGTACCTGTACAAGCACACCCTTCCTTCTGCAGGAAGTAAAGACCTTACTGTGGTATATTCAGTGACAAAGTATTGGATTGTTTTCCTTTTTATTTTTGTTTTCACTATCTCTCTTTTTAGTCCTTTTTTTTTTTCTGAAGTTGTTATAGTGTGTTTGTCTTTGTTGTTTGATGTTGAAACCTATGATTTTCAATGCAAGGAAGATGATGTGACTGTAGTACAGGAGAAAATTTAGTTCCTTCGCTAGGTAGAAGACTGTTCTTATGTTTAATCTGCATTATATTAAGTTTTTAATCAAAATAAATTGGGAGCTGCCTTGAACATCAGACATTTAGTTTTGGGGGTTTGGTTTAATTTATTTGTTTATTTAAAGTAATTGGTAAATACATGCCTCATTTACAATTTTATATTATTTTTTCAGACCTCAGTATGATGAAAAGTAAGAGTTGCAGCTGCTTAATTTAGACTTAACTAAAACTTCAGTTTGACTGTGTCCAAAATAAATTGAATCTTGTGGTTGTATATTTTACTTTGTAAGAGTAATGCAAACCATTTTGGGGGATGATTGTGTACTTCAGTGAAAATAATAGAAAGTATATCTGAATTTGTTCAGGAAGCTAAGTTATAATATGCCATACAATTTTGAAATATCACGTTTGGCTTTTGTGAATTTTTCAGTAATTATTCCCTGGATAACTTACTATCATTGTGGAGGCTCAAGCTACTCCATACTTTTAGAAACAGAGCTATGGCTGGCTTTTAAAGTAATTTAATTAAAAAAAAAGGAAACTAGTGACCATCAGACACCGACTCTTGGAATTAGGTTATTTTTCATCTTTTTCAGGTACCGCTCTCCTGATACACTTAACTTGGTGTAATAAGATTCAAGCTGTTTTCACTGCTAGCTATTTACTGACTGTTGACACATTTCCAGTGTTGACACTGGAAATGACCAGTTCATAATTATATATACAGCTGTACATACATATTTACATACATACATACATACATATATGTTGTAAATTAGAGCACTGCCCCTAGAGTGCTGTTCTCAAATCTGTCTGCTGTGAACTGGGTAATTGCCTGTTTTCACATTTTTTCACAGTGACAAATACCCCCACCTTTTTTTTTTTAACTTGCCATTTTATTCTTTTTGTTTAGAAAATGAGAGGCTGTGCTATAGCATGCACTGCGTTTCAGAGAAAGCAAGACTCCACTGCTGTGTCTAAAACTTAAATTAGACATGTTGACATTTAGATTTTCTTGAAAAATATGAAGTGCTTCTGATGGTGTAGTGAGTTGACCCTGGCTAGATGCCAAGTACCCACTAAAGCCACTCTCTGCGTCCTCTCTGCAACTGGACAGAAGAGAGAAAAAAAAACCAGCAAAGGATTCATGAGTTAAGAGCTGGGAGAGATCACTTACTGATCACCATCATGGGCAAAACAGACTTAAAGTGGGGATATTACTTAAATTTATTACTAACAGGATCAGAGCAAAAAAGAATGAGAAGTAAAATAATCTCACCCACCCCTCCGTCCTTCTGTGTTCTCCCTCCTCCCCCCCAGCGGTGCAGGGGGATGGGGAATGGGAGTTACGGTCAGTTGTTGTTTCTGCCACTGCTGAGGGAGAGGAGTCCTTCCCCTGCTCCCGTGGGGTCCCTCCTACAGGAGACAGTCCTTCACGAACCTCTGCAGCGTGAGTCCATCCCGTAGGCAGTTCGTCACAAAACTGGTGCTCTGCGGCTCACTTTTCCGTTGGGTGCAGTCCTTCAGGAATGAGCTGTACCAGCTGTACCCCCGGTATGGATCCCGCACAGGGCCACAAGTCCTACCAGGAAAACCTTCTCCAGCATGGGCTCGTTTCTCCATGGGTTGCAGGTCCCTGGCAGGACCCTGCTCCATCTTGGGGCTCTCACAGGGTCACAGCCTCCTTCAGATATCCACCTGCTCCAGCATGAGCTTCTCCATGGGCTGCAGGTGGGTCTCTGCACCCCAATGGTCCTCCACGGGCTGCAGGGGCACAGCTGCTCCACCATGGTCTGCACCACAGGCTGCAGGGGCCTCAGCTCCAGCTCCTGGAGAACCTCCTTCCTGTCCTTCTGTACTGACCTTGGTGTCTATGTTGCTGTTCCCATGTTCTCACTCTGCTCTTCACTGGATGGAATTTTTCAACTGTGCAATAAATTTCCGTTCTTAAATATATTATCACGGAGGTTTTACTGTCATTCCTAATTGGCTCAGCCTTGGCCGGCAGCAGGAAGCCCATCCTGGAGCTGGCTGGCATTGGCTCCACCAGAAAGGGGAAGCTTCTAGCAGCTGCTAACAGAAACTACCCCTGTAGTGCCCCCCCCCCCCCCCCCCAAAACCTAGCCACAGAAACCCAATACAGATACCGATATACCTATAAAATAAAAATTTTTCATAATTATTAAATATGTATGATTTTAAATGTAGTGAAGACAAACAGCAAACACATTCTCTGAATTGAAAGTTGTTTAACTTGTGAGTTGAGTTTTTATTCTATCTTAATACGTAAGCTGCAGACATGGGACTTCTCTGTTCTAGAAGTCTTATCAGTCTGTACTGATAACAAAGTTAAAGCAGAACAGCTCCAAATAAACCTTTGGTAGCTGAAAGGATGTAGCTTGAATTAAAGAGTAAGTGTTAAAATCTGTGTTAAAGGCTCTCTTGACAACCAGGCATGTATTGAGGCTGGTTACTCTGGGACTGCTTGCTATATTTGAGTTGTGGCCATCTACCACCATAAGGGGATGTGCTGAGACTCTGTAAACCCTCTTGATTGATTATTGCTGTTTTTCTTGGGGAAGGTTTTGTGCAGGTGCAAGCAGCACCTGTGGGTACATTTGTTGGACTGAGGACAAAATCAAAGAGCAGATCAGAGGAAGTCCAGAAGGCGGTAGGAGAGGCTCCCTTTCTGGGAGGAGGACTGGGATAGGCTAAGGGAAAGGTGCTTAATGTCAAGAGAGGAACTGCTTTCACTGCTTTCCTTTGTTCTTCTCACCCTTGTAAATATGTTCTTTATGGATTCACAGAGCTCTGTCTGAAGTTCGTAATACAAACCACATACTTTCTAGTCTCAGTGTGCTTAATTAGTTGCACCTTGCAGTAAGTGTTGCTGAGAAGACAGACATGTGTTATACATGTACATTTTGCCTGGCTGAGGAATGCAGGTTAGTAGAGAATGCTGAGGTCTTGTCCTCCATAAAATGGTACAAGTCTATAGCAGTGTGCAATATGAACCAGACTCATGATGAAGCATCGAGCATTTTTCATGTAGAAGCAATTTAGTAACTACTGAGTAAGTGGGCATTTCGTTGCATGTTATTCTCTGAAAACAGAGCAGGTGTTACTCTGAGTTTTATTTTTACTTGAGATTCCTTGAGAATTTATAACTTAGTGTCCAAAATAAAGCTGGGTTATCTCCACTCACAGTTGCCTTGAGATTAAGTAGCTTTTCTAAAAGCAGGTAAAGAAATAGGCAAATTTCTCCATAGTTATGAGTATTTGGACGACCTCATTTTTCATTTAAGTGTTTGAAAAGTAATGGAAAATAAACACTTCTTTTGGGGCCGTTCTGTTAAAGTTGGATCAAGAGTTTGTGTCTACTGAATTTCATAAGAGTTTTTGAGGACCCTTGAGATATGATATACTTGTGCAGTGCTTTACACTCCCCCTCTCAAGGGCCTGTTTTAAGGGATTCGTCTTGCAAATTCTGATTCAGGAAAATTAGATACTGATCGCCATTTCGCCGAAGCATGAGATATTTTGGTTGAGTGCCATACTACTATGAAAAAATGGGAATGTGCTAACGGATCATGCCCAAATGTGTCTGTATTCTGCCTTTTTTCTTTCTGATTTGGAAGGTGATCGGCTTCATGTAGGTCATTTTAAATCCATTTTTGGGTGATAGTTATTGCCTTAGGGAGATGACTGAGGTTTTGTGTGACAGAATTGTTAACCATGCTTGAATTTTCCATGCTGTGTGATTGAGAGAGCTGGTGCTGTATGAGCTCAGTTGTCTGTGCCTGCCATTCATCAGTGTTACAGACTGCAAAAGCTGCCACTTCAACGCTGCTCTTTTGGTACTCGGTCTTATCTGTGCAAATGTTGTGGTGGAGTTGTGGAAACAAGGTCTTCAAGGTCTCATGGGGTCTTGCAGCAGCCAGAATGCACAGAAAGCAGGAAAGGGAAGAAAGGTGATTATTAGATCATGTGGGTGAGATGTGGATATGAGGAATTGTAAGGGTTCTCTGGTGCCAAAATACTGAATTACAATGCTGGCTACTTGTCACTTCAAAGCACAGTCCAAGCCTTTAATCCTCATAGCTTCTCAGAGAGGTAGGTAAGTCAAGCTGGAAGAATGTGAGATTTCACAGAAATAATGTTTTAAAACTGTGTAAACAAAGTTATTCTTCAAAAAATGTATGCAGTGAAAATTGTACTTGTTAAAAAAAAACTGAAATAGTTTTAGTGTGTCCTGGGAAGTGTTTAAAGCTATGTATATCTGAAGTAGTGTGTAGTAGTGTGAACTACTAAAATAACATAAAGTTTAAGTGCATCTGGTACTCTGCATAGGTTTTGTAGCATAGTTTTATTTACAGTTGCATTTATTTTCCTTTCTCCACTAATTGTCAAAATGCTAATTCTAGTTTTTAAGCTTTCTCGTTATTGCCTCCCCTCCCCATTTAAGTCTTTTTCCTCCAATCCCGTGTTCTCTGTATTGCAAAGAAAATCCTCAAATAAAAATCCAAACTAGCACAGAAAATGAGTGTGTCCAACATAAAACTAGTTTTATTTCAAGCTTTTCAACAGCTGTTTATAGCAGAGAATGAAAATAGTCTTTGAGAAAATGGACCAGTGGTGCAGCCCTTCAAGATCTCTAGCAAATTTGTTGATTTTTATCTTTGAATGTCTTTTAATACTGTTCAGTGCTTCATTGGGACACTGTGTCCTTGGTTTTCAGTCTGCTTTTCCCTACTAATGGCTGTGTAAGAACTTTGGGCTAGGAGGTTTTTGTAGAAAAAGCCGTATTGAAAAAGATTGGTCTTGCATTTAGTTTTGAACCTCACCGATGCTTTTATATAAAGTACTTTTATATTACCATTTTAACAATTTACTTTCTTTGTTTTATGTATGTGTAAGAGAATATGGGGGGTAATTAGTGCTATGATCGGTGGAAATATTTTATTTCTGTGGTCTAAATGGTCAAAAAAATCCTCAGCTTTTTTAAAGTTTGTGTGTCCATGTTGTACTGTATGCTGTAATTTCTTAGGAGCTGTAACTTTCTGTGTGACATTCTTCTGCCACAGCATTTAGCAGAGAATGGAGACATTTTAATCTTCAGTTCAGGATTCAGTTTTGCAACAAAAGAATGAACTCAAAAATGGTCTCTCTCTCTCTCCAAATGAATAGAAGCATTCAAGAAATAAGCAGAATCAATGACACCAATGAAAGGAGCAGTGAATTCTTCATTGACATACTGATCTATTTAAAGTTATTTCATCAGGTTTGCATTTAGGAATGAATGGCTTTTTTTACTTCCTAAGAAAGAGTATTGACTACAACAGTGAATAATGCAGTCAATTACAGTCGTTCTTATAAATGCTGAAATGAGATATTACTGTAGGCTTGACAAATATGGCATGTAGCAAAATGAGGTTTGTGGTGTGGCTTATGACCAGTGAATAGCAATAAGTTTTCAAAGTTCAGTTCTGTTCACTGAACTACATTTAATTCTGTTGATTGTCTTGCTAAACCATTAACTTTTTGGAGAAAAAAATAATTTGCCATCTAGAAGCGCAGTAGAACCTGATGTGACTATATTGGAGGATAGCCTAAAGCAGACTCCCTGGAGATGGCCCAGTAAAATGTTTTCCTGTACATATTTGGGGGTATTCCAGTTGTTGGTTTATATTCAGCCAAAAACCAAGTGTGTGCTGTATTTTATAAATTCTTGGCTTTGCGTTAGAATAGGTTGTAGTTTTCTCATGGGTAGTGCATTCCCAGCGGAAGGTTGGGCAGCCCCATTTAAAAATAATGTAATAACGCTAAACATTTTGCTAAATAAAGTTGGAAACTACTTGTTATTTGTAAATCCATTAATGTTCAGATGTTCTAGGTAGAACAGCGCATCTGAATAAGTAAACACTTTGCCAGCAAGATTAGTTGTAATGTGTTGTAATTGAGACTGAGAAAACAACATTATTTGTTCTTTTCTCTTACAACTTCTATTGTGCTTTGCCAGCCTCTGATGATCTGTGACTGTTCTGAAGAACATAAGAAGAATAATTGCCCTGGGTTCGGAAGAGCACTCTGTATAAAATTCAGATTTTGCGCTAAAGTTTTTAAGTAGTGAAATTCCTGTTAGCTTACCGCTGTTTTTGTTTATGGCTGAAGGATGGCTCATCATGTGTATAGTGGATTTTTTTCCCTATGAATTTCATAGATGTATAGTATTCAATGCGTTCTTGCTCATACTTGCATTTTTAATGTAGGAACACTCATTTAAGTTTTTCTTATGCTAAGTAAATTTTAGTATGCTTTAAAACTGGTCTTAAAAAATACCAATTAGCAATTGTCATTTATTGTAGGTGCTACAAAATATATTAGAAACAGAAAATGAATATGCTAAGGAGCTACAAACAATGCTTTCAAACTACCTGCGACCATTACAAGCCAGTGAAAAGTATGTGAGTTTGTTCTGTGTTTTAAATTAAGTTTGAGATCTCTCATGTATTGGGGAGGGTTAATGTGGTCAAAATTTCAATGTCAATGCGTGTTTTCCTCTGTGGACTATGAGATTCTTGAGGCAGGGCTTGCTTTTATTCAGTTTGCTTGCTGACTGACACAGTCAGGTCCTTGATCTAAGAACCAGTAAGCACTTTCTTTTAGCACTGTAGATTGTATTAATGCACAGTTAGTCAATAACTGCAAACCTAAGCATGTTTTATTTACTTTGGCTCCAGGTTAACCTTGGCAAATACTTCATACTTAATGGGAAACCTGGAAGAAATAAGTTCTTTCCAGCAAATGCTTGTACAGTCTTTAGAAGAATGCACCAAGTAAGTACTATGCATATGAGATACAGTAAAATTCTAACATGCAAATATTTTTTATTACTTTATTTGTTGCTAATGTTGGGCATAATTTTTTTTCTTCTCACTGTAAGAATTGTTGCCACAGCAGTACAGTAATAGGTGTTTGGAGAATGTATTGATTGCTTGTACAGATAGATATTGGCCCTAGGATGCAGTTGCAGAGGTAGAAATTTTGATTTAGTTTAACGGCAATTTACAAATTTCCATGATGCAATTGCATACTAGTAGGGAAATGGTGGGTTTTGTTTTGGGGGCATGAATTTTAAGAACTTTCTTAAAAGTAAGAGAAGGAATGAACAGACCTTATGTAATGGTGCAACAGTGGAGAAGGAGGTGACTTGGATGAAGCGCATTCTGAGAATGCTTGTGCTTAGTATTCTTCTGGCCTGAACAATGGTAGTCATGAAAAGGTGCTGGGAGAGGTGGCCAGGATAGACAGAAAGAACAACCTGAATTAAATAAAACCCCTCAGTGCTTGTGCTGCTATAGGAAGCATGAAGCACAGAAAGAAGGGGATGAAGACACTTCTCTTTCTGTAGTTGAGGCTGAATTGGTAACTTGGTATTTTTCAGCTTGTTACCTCAGCACTTGGGGATGCTAGAAAGAAGGTGACCATATCACATTTACATTGTCCTAACAGCTTTCTGGTGTTAAAACTCCACTGAAAGTAAAATTTCTGTTTCTAACCTCAGTTCTGTCATTTTCCTTGTCTACGTGGTCACAGTCCTACTCCAAATTTTCTTGGTTTCTGCCAAGTTAGTAATTATTTGAATTGCTTGAATTTAAGGGCTTAGACAAGTTTCAGTCTGCTGAATGAATGAATGAATGTCTTGGATGCAGGAGAAAATACCTCTTTTGGCAACAGTGATCTTTAGGTCCCCTCAGTGTGTCTTGTTTTGACCTCTCCTTCCTCCCTTCTGAGCTGCTCTGCGTGAAGAAGCAGCTTTGTCATGACAAAGTATAAGCTGCATCTCCACTAGGCAGTCCATATGCCTGGGACTGTTGCTGACTTCCCTCCTACCACCTGTCTTCTGCCCTTCTCTCCTGCCTCTATGCAACTTAGACCTGAGAGAAGGGAAGGGAGGATGGTGTAGTTCAGATGACTGTTCAGCAGTGTAATGGAAACATTCTTGAAATGGTCTTTCTTTCATGCTGTGTGTGAGAAAGAAGGATATTCATTCCAGACTTCATCAGTAAAGTGTCTAAATCCCTGAAAAGTGACCATTTGTCAACAAACTTAAATGTTTCCTTTCTTTTCTTGTCACTGTGCTTTGTTTTCTCATTCTTTTATTACCATGATTTTGTTTCGGTGAATCAGAAGTTAGGGAAATAAAGTACCTTGCATGGAACAAACTGTCATCTTTTGAAACATTTTGTTAAGGTGGAGTAGGAGATCATATGCCTTAAATATTAATGCATAATGTCCTTTATTTGTTCTTTCTGCTAAGTGAAATGTTGCTGTGTAATAAACTAGGTACATACTGGATGCTAGTAGGTGGGCACAGGAAGTGATGCCCTGGAGTTAGTGAAGAGTTACTGCAAATATTTTGTATTATTGTCATTCCATAAATATGCTTGTCGTGCCAAGTTGTATTTTCAGTTTAATTTTCATCGTAGTGTCCTTGTGTTTGGAATCTAGTTCATCATGATTCCCATCCTGTAGAAGAATGCTTGCTCTACTGCCTTTTTTCTCTTTGTCATTTTACCATATTTTTTTGGCTGGTGAATCTGTTCTGTAAACCCAGACTAGCTCCAGGGCTGAAAATAGATTTATAATTTTATTTTATTTTTGGCAGAGAAGTTACATCATTGAGGCACTTCACATTGCAACACCCGGTGGGGTGTTTTTTCTAACTTGACATGTCAGAATGAACAAATGCCAATGTCCTGCCTGTTGTAGAGCTACCGGCCTACTTTGCTCAAAAAAATTTGTGTTCTTGGGCATGAATTGAATTTTAAATTCCACACCCACCTTGAGACAGTTTTTCACTTGAATTTTCTTTTTAACAAATCTTGGCATGTAGTTCAGCAGCAGAAACTTTCCCGTACCGTACTTCTTGCCTGCACCACTTTGGCTTATTTAATCCTCGTGTTGTTAAACATTGGGTTGTGGGGGGTTTTTTGGAACATAATATGCTGTAGTGGGTAGTTTGTATGTTTTAGGGGGAAACAGTTATTTGAATTTTGGGTTGATTTTAGTTGTCTGCCACCCTTCCACCCTGCTCACAGCCTTGAAGCTTTTCTGGTTCGTTGCTAGAGGTTTGTCCTCCTTGAACTTGTCCACATTGTGGGGTTATTTCTGCCTTTGTAATCTCTGGCTGAAATGATCACACTGAAAGTATTGCTCTATGGGTATTTTTGTAGCTGGAGATTGAACCTAACTTGAACCCCTGCTCCAAAAAAAAATTCTTCCATTTACCTGGGAACAGAAGCTGTCAGTCTATGGCTGTACTTCTCAATAAGGACAGGCACATGACACACAGGTCTGAGTGGTGTGCCACCAGCCTGCATGAACTGCTTAGGTATAATCTTCTCTGTAGGAAATTGAAGTCTTTTAGATAGTATCACAGACTTATCCCCTTGCCCTGTAGCAACCATAGTTTGATTTTTGTCCCCTCTTCCTCATGCCCCTTCTCTTGCAGTCACAGTAACTGTGTCATCGTGTTCTGTGTTTAAGTGCAAGCAGATACTTCTATTCCTGAAGTGGAATGGAATTAAAAAAAAAAAAAGGAAGGGAGAAGCCAGGGTGTGAGAGGGAGACTATTTAAATGTAATCCAAAACTAATTAGTGTTTCAGGTTTAGTTATGGAGTGCAGATACAAATTAAGTCTGTTAAGGGTTTATCCAAGTATCATCCTTTACTTTTGGTTATCATGGGTATCAACAGAAACAAGACTATCAGTATTAAGTAAATATGAACACAAACGAGTTTAGATATCCTGAAACAAACATGCATAGTAACTGATGTCTGATAGGTAAGGCAAAGAGACAATTAGTGAAAGGTGTGGTTTTGAAGAGAGCATTGAAAATTAGACTGAAGTGTTGTAAATGAGTTGAATACTGCCTAGTTTTGTGCAAACAGTAGCTCAGAAAGTTGAGAAGTGGCCCCTTATTTCAGTAACCTTGTTAACTGTTGTAGTGGTTTGAACCTTGTTTTCCCCAGAGGCTAAGAGAAGTGGTAGACCCCAAGGGGTGGAAACCCCTGGAAGTTTTGAAGTTCTGCCCAATGGGCGCTCCTGCAGAAATGTAAGCATACCACAACCAGACCGGAAAAGAAGAGTTGTAGTTTGCTGGTTGTAGGAGAGGTGGCCATGTTGTAGAGCCATGAGGAAGGGGCTCTGAGCCCCTTGGGGCCTCTGGCCCCCTCCCAGCCCCTGGCTGGGGGCTGCAGGGACCTGGAACAGCATAAAGCTGGGCTAGGTGCCTGTAGTTATGCCGGGAGATGTTTTCTCCATGGGCACAGAGCAGCAGCCGACACTGACCAGAGAAACAGTGGCAGAGAGCCAGAGATAAGAACCTGAACTGAAGAAGCAGCAGAAGCAACATGCAGCACTGCAGAGGAGACTCCTGGAAGGAGAGTCGAGGAAAGGAGAGCCAGCAGCTGAGAGCTACAGAGTTCTTGGGGGTAAGACTGATACCAGATCCCCAAAACTCCTTTGAGACCTCCTGGAAGGAGGAAGATGATGGACTCTTACTTGAAAGAGCCTTGAAGTGCGACATGCACTGTAGAAAGGAGCTAGAGAGCTCCGAGAGGAATGCAGGGGGAGTTGACCTTGGCTTCCCCCCCCCCTTGCACTGCTGCCACGGTGGCAGCCTGAGAGACAGGGCACAGAGGCCCTGCAAGGAGCTTGAATCTCCTGGAGATACCAGACCGTCACGAAGACCCCCCTGTGTCTTCGTGATATGACGTGGTGATACGACCTTGTCTGGGGTTACGAAGACCACGGAAGACCCCTCGGTTGTGAGGCGATGGGGCCGAGAGTGGGGCTTGGATACCTCCCTCGTGGAGTGCTGGCAGAAAGCCAGCTATCAGCTGCTGCATGCATGAGAAGAAGAAACCTGCTGCCTCAGAGGATGCTGCTGTTCAAGGACTGGAAGGGATCTGTTCTTCTTTCCCTCCTGGACTTTTATTTGGAGGAGAGAAGAGATCTGATCCATTGTAAATACATATGTCATGGTAGAAATAGTTTGTGATCATGTGTATAATGTGATATGGTATTTATTTGTACAGTCATTGTAATATATTCCCTTTTCCCCACTTTGAGTCTGGTGTGTTTTGTCTGGAAAAACCCATCTCACATTAGGTTGAGATGTGGGAGGGGGAATGGAGCTAGGGAATTGGATTTTGGGGCTATCTCAAACCATGACACTGTGAAGCATCTGGAGATGACATGCAATCCTATGTTACTTCACAAACTGCATCTCTTGGAGTCATTAATTGCAATTATCCTGTAATAATTTTTACAGACCTTCACTTCTCTGCTATCAGCTTTTAAGTTCAAGGCATTCTCTGTACTGACCTCCTGCAAGCATGGCAAACTTACTATTGATGCTCCAGCTCCTTCAAGAGGCTGAGAGAGTGGAAGTAAATTGTGCTGTTTATCTTTGTGGGAGGAAGTGGAGAAGATCAGATATTCTGTATTGTCACTTTTTTTCTGTCAGCTGTCAGGCCAGCTTTAGTTCAGTTCTCATTGCTGGTTTTGATCTGTCTTAAAACTAACCTTGTTGTTCAATCACACTTACTTTTTTATTTCTTTCCTTAAATTACCAGGCAGTGGGAGCCCATTTTAAATCTGGAGAAACAGAAGTGATAGCCATTGGATATAACTCCAACAAGCAGATAATGTCAGGTAGTTTAGATGTAGTCATATGATGATTCCTCTAGCATGTCTTCAACAGCAGAGCCTTTGTTTTGGTTCTCTTACACCTGTAAATAGAATTAAAAGATGCCTTTGGGTTTTTAGAACTGAAGTTGTTATAGTTTATATATATGTATAAATATTTATGTGATTCCTTTTTAATTAAAGTACCAAATATGAGAAGAATATTGGGATGACAACTTCAGAATGAATTGTGAAATAACTGTGCTTTTTATTGAACACATTAATTACCAAAGGGTTTGTATGATGTGGTGATACACATTAAATTGTTAGTTTTTCAACAGTTAAAGGAGGTTATAGATAAGTTATCTACTGAAAATTGTAGAACACCTGCAACTAGTGCATGGATTAGAAAAGTTAAAGGGAATAAGTTGCCACCCACTTATAAAGTCTTTTAATTAGCTTAATTCAACAAAGAATGTGCAGTATAAAGTGGCAATGCATGTGCAACACATGAAAGAGAATAATGTCAGTCTTTGATTCTGCTTAAAGAAAGCAGACGGAGAAGACACAGATGTCTGCTTGGTGCAAACAGCCATAATTCACCCTCCACCCACATCACTACAGTATGAAATGGGAATTTAACCATTTTTAGCAACTGTTTATTGGAGCCTCCTGCTCTTTAATACTGAGTTATATGCCTTGAATATGTCTTCAGAGTTTGCAACTTTGGCTGCATCTATTACTCGAAGAATGTATTATTAGCTCATGCTTAGATTTATTTAAAGGGGACCAGCTGCTAGGCAGGAAGTGCTGCTGGGCAGGCTGTAAGAATAGCATTCTGTCAGTATGCTGGGGATTGCCCCTCATTTTCCCCTAAAAACCTGCAAAACCAGACAATCAATGCTGCTCAGAATTTAAACTTTTTTTTTTCCAAGAGAAATAAAGATGCAGACAGTAAAATATGAGCCCTAGCCTTTAATATAGGGCGTGCTGATAATGTGGTCAGAGTGTATCTGGCATGATGTGTGTGCTGGGGATTCAGCTGTCGTTTTCTGGGTGTCTGTAATGAACATCGCTTTCAAATCAGGAAGCGTGTTTCCCCTGCCTCGCATTTTGAACATCTCTACAGTCAGTTTTGACTTCATTTGGGGTAGGTCTTCCCACGCTGTGCAGAGGGACTGAACAGCTTAGTAGGAGATAGACTTAGTGTTTTGAAATTTGGGGGAGTATTTCTTGGCATGAACTCTGAATTCTGATTACTATGAGCAGACCTAAGGAGTGGGACAAGATGACTCTGTTTGAGCGGGATGGGAACATCCCCTGCCTGGAGGAGTGGTTGTCCTGGAAAGCTTAATGTTTTCTCTTCTGCTGAGGTTCACTGGAGCATCTCTCACTTTTTTCCAGAGGGAATATACTGAATATTGATATCTAGGAACTTTATGTACATGTTCAGGACAACTACAGAAAATCTTGACTTTTAAAATTATTTTTTTTTTCAGAAAAACAGTATTCTTCAAGAGAGAATTGTTGGAACTGATCTTTGCGTGGAGCCTTTTGACTGTGCAAACACTATATCTATTGAGTACTTACTGAGGACTCATTTAGCTTTATAGCAGAGTGAAATACTGGGTTTAAGAGTAGTAAAATAGATAACAAGAACAACAACAACAAAATCCACTGTCTCATCTTGTAAAGAAGCAAAGACTGCATACTTTTGTTAGGAGATGCAGTCTTTATGCAAGGAGAGCTAGTGCATGGAGAAATTGAAACACTTTGTCGTGCACATGTTGTACAGTGGGTTTAGGCAAGGTGTCAGGAACAAGTTTGTAGTCTAAGACTGATGAAAGTTTAGTGTCCCATCTTCTGGTTAGCTTCAGTGTGGGTTATACAATTGGCTATTAGCCATACCCTACATCCTACAGCTGAAGAGGCTTAGTCCTTCAAGTGGGAGTTGCTCTGTCGAAAAGAAGAGTTTCATCCCTTCTGACGCTCTTACAATATTGCTCTTTTGTTTGTCCAATTTATTTGTTCTCACATAGGAAGCAGCCCTGTATAGGTATTTCTGTGTGGTTCTGAGAATGGGGGCATAGTAGCAGTTAGGATGCATGGCTGGTTAGAGTATATGCTTTTTTCCGTCAGTTGGTGTATAACTTGAAAATTATTTGAGATTATAAAAAAGTATGTGAGTGTGCTTTTTTACATCTCACCTATACGGCTTAAGGAGTTAATAGGAATAAGACTGGAAGAACTGCACTCTTTCTTTCACCCCCACCCTGCTTATATTGATGCAGAAATCACAAGTCAGACTTGTACTCTCTGCTGATTGTACCAGTTCTAAGCTGGAGTCATGCAGCCAATTTCAGATATTTATACTCCAGATATTTTCTTGCTGCAATGTGTAATAACAGTTTCTGCTAAAAACTTTTGAAAATTACATTGTATATATTCATACTGTCTTCCTTCATATCCTGTCCTTCTTTATTTATATGAATATGTGTATATTTCTCTGGAAAACTTGATCAAAACTGATTAGGTTTACTAAGAGTGTGTGAAAGTAAGCTTTTCTTCTAAGTCATCTTTATTTGAAGTCACTGAGGCTGCTATTATTTAAGCACCATTTTATGCTAGACAAAATAAGCTCTTCTGAACAGAATTGTGAAATTTTCCTTCACTGTTTAGCCAATGTGGTGTATCTGAACATGAAAAATATAGAAAGTATTTCTGCACTGATGGTGGTAAAGCAGCATTCTTGCCCTGGTTACAACCCAACATAAAAGTGCTTTAAGGTCCTTAAAAACGAAAGATGAGTGACAATTGTGTAAAAACAGCCTGTTACTGCACCGTAACTGGTTTCTATTTGTGTTATTAGAGCTTAAGAGGGTATTTGGATCTTTTAATGAATATTTAAATCCTGTCATCTCTGCTTGTGTAAGGTAAAGGAAGAGAATCCTGTTGCTACTCCGTCCAGTTTTTGTCTTAATTGCTGAAATAGTGCTTTTAAGATTTGTCATGGCATATATAAGTGGATCATAAACTGTTCTAACAGATGGGTATATTCACTGAAAATTTAATTCCTTAAAGAATGTGCTAATTACCATTAATTTTTGAAAATATTTTGCTGAATGACAGTTCTACAGGTATGTATTATATTCTGCCTATACTATGGTGGCGTAAGCAGAAGGAGGAGAAAACTGTTGGATGCTGGTCAGTAACCATAGAAATCTATCTGTTATTTTTATTAAAAAAACCCAAACAAAAATAACAACAAAACAAAAATCACAAAACGAAACCAAACAGACGGTGTGTCCTGGTTCTACCCCAGCCAGCTGCCAAGCCTCACGCAGCCACTTGCTCACTCCCCCACAGTGGGAACGGGGTAGAAGCTAGAAAACTCGTGGGTTGAGATAAAGACAGTTTAATAGGAAAAGCAAAAGCTTCTCACACAAGCAGAGCAAAACAAGGAATTAATTTGCCACTTCCCATGGGCAGGCAGGTGTTCAGCCGTCTTTGGGAAAGCAAGGCCCCCTCACGTGCAAGTTACTTGGGAAGACAAACACCATGAGTCTAAACATCCCCCCTTCTTTCTTCTTCCCCCAGTATTATACAGAGCAAGATGTCCTATGGTATGGAATATCCCTTTGGTCAGTTGGGGTCAGCTGTACTGGCTGTCTCTCCTCCCAGCTTCCCTTTTTCCCCCTGCCTTCTTGCTGGCATGGCAGTACAAAAATCAGAGGAGGCCTTGGCTCTGTGTAAGCCCTGCTCAGCAATAGCAGAAACATCTCAATATTAGCAACCCCGTGTTCAACACATATCCAAAACACAGCCCCATACCAGCCACTGTGAAGAAAATTAACTCTACCACAGCCAAAACCAGCACACAATATACACTGCTTTTCTAGGCTTTAATTTATTTCTGTGTCTGGTTGGTATTACAGTATTTTCATATTCATTACTCTGTTTTTAGGTTGCCTGAAGCTCAGCAGAGAGTTGGAGGATGTTTTCTAAATTTGATGCCTCAAATGAAAAACTTATACCTTACGTACTGTGCCAACCATCCATCAGCAGTAAATGTTCTCACAGAACACAGGTATGTTTACTTTGTGGTCTTTTAAGTCTGATACCAAAAGGTGTGCAACATACTTGCATTGTGAAGCTATGATGTCTCTTTTGACATGTATTTAGTATGGCAAACCTTGTTTAAGGAAAAAAAATTTATTAAAAAAAAAAAGACAAAAAGCCCCATGACACAAAGCTGTTTCGTATGATCAGGACCAGCTTGTCACTTTTGGCAGTGTTATCAACTATTTGAAAGAATTTTTTCATTGAAAGAACACATGCTGGACTCTGAATATGTAAAACAAATGTTACTGGTTGTCATCTTTGTTTTAAAAATGTTGAGATCAAAACAAGTTTGTAAAATCATGGCATAATTGACATGACTACTAGTAGGCTTTCTAGACAGTTGGTGCACTGTAACTTAGCCCTGTAAAATCCTGTGTGTCTGTATGTACTTAACTTCATAATCGTATACCCTTAGCTTTACTTTTGAGTGATACGAGTGTGAGCTTTTTAAGTTTACAAAATTACTGTTTTCTGTGTGTAAGAAGTTAGGATGCCAAGTTAACATGATGTAGGTTGCTCAGCTTTTGAACAGGCCTTGAATTTGCATAGAGGATGGCCTGTATCACTTTGAGGGAAAAGTATCGAGGCCAGAATTTAATTCAAGAAATCTGCTTTCACAAACTTTTGCTATGTATTTGTATTCTCCTGATGACCCACAAGCTGAATATGTTATTTTGGGGCTTTTTATGTTTGCTTGTGTGGTGCAGGACAGAACCATGACCTCCTCTTGAAGGTTAGCCATAGGACAAATTCTAGTAAGATATATATTCTTTTTTGATTCATCCCCCCTTCCTTTTTTGTCTTCTTGTGATGGACAGAAATCCATCCTCAAGAATTTTGAGTATTCTTAGCACTTTGTAAATGAAGAGGAGCACAATTGATTTTTTACTATAGAGTTAGCTTCTTTCAGGAACTCAAATTTCATTTTAACAGCAACATCATGTGGCGTGTTTGTGAGCTTTACTCTTAATATTATGAAGATAAACCCCCTAGTTTTAGACAAAAAACCTAAGTATCATTTGTTAGTAATACATGCAACTATGTTTCAACCCTGGTTTACAAAATCAAGATGCAAATTGACATTACAGTATAGGCAGAAAGAAGATAAGTTTTTGTTATTAAAATTCAGTAGGACAAAAAAAGTTTAAAACTCCCTGATGAAATCCTTTAGTGTTTGCTTTCTTTCAAATGGCCCTCTTCTAGTACCATTTTTGATAAATGGTTAAAATACTTGGGTGATCTGTGCCTGTGGGGTTTTTAATACTCTTGGGCTTAGATTTTTTGTTTGTTCGTGCCTTTATGCTCTTTCCATACAAAGGTCCGGGATTTAAACTATAGATGGAAGATGACGTGTGACAGTGAAGTGATCATCTACATTTCTTTAGATTTGGAGATTCTTGTAAAGGATTATCCTAACTTTCTGAACTCTGAGAAACAGTGATAGAAATGTGAGGGAGGAAACCTGTTTATTCTGCAAATGGAGAAGAGAAGCATTTCTTCTCCTTCATGTTACTTTGTGCATAGATTGTCCTGAGAAAGATTCAGCGTCAGGTCTGTGAAGTCAGCTTGATATCAAATCCTGGCAGAGCCAATATAAGTATCATAGAGGAGTTAAATAATTTGGATGTGGAAGCAGGTTCAATGCAATTGTGTTTTTTGTATGAGATAGCTTAAGGGAGAGAAGTTGTGATTGACAGTTCTCTGTTTAATGCTATTGTGTTGCCAAACATGACTCTACAGAATTAAATCCTGTTGGTTTTAATTACCCTTATTTTATTATTTTAATACCTTAATTTTTGTTGTCCAACGCTGCTGTAGTTAGCAAGTGGCTTGACTAAATATTCAGCTTGAGACAACTGCCATGAAGAAATCAGAAAGTGGCTTCAAGCAGTTCTGAACCTTTTCCTCTTGGAATGCCAGAAAACTTTTAATTACATTGTTTTAAAAGTATGGAGAAAGAGGGGAATAACAGACTGATTGGAAAATAGTCCGAACTGTCTCCTTGTCTGTTTAGCTGAGATATTTTTAATGTGTAACAGCATCTGTTATAAAACTTAATGTAAAAATTACCATGAGGTTTGAGGATAGTCATGATTGTAATAATGATGAAACAACTGCACTGCACTTAATACTGGATAAAAGACCAAGATTTAAGTCTTTTAAGAAAAGATGATGTTTTGTTGGTTTTTTTAGGAGTACAATTTTAGCAGAGGGTTCAAAACCATTCTATGTGTTTCAATACCAGCAAAAAATAAGAGAGAGAAATTGGTGTTTGTGGAATACTTGGATTTAAATATCATGTTTGTAACGGCTGTGCTATGCAGTGGCATTTTAGAGAGAGGAAAAAGGAGCAATCTGGAGTGGTTTGATATTGAACATATTTGATTTGTAACAATCTTACTGTCTACAGAAAATTATTTCTTACCATGAACTCTGTGCACTTCGAAAAATGAACAGGTATGTATTAACTGTGCCTCTGAAAGCCTTTTTACAAAAAACCTAGCAAATAATTTTAAGTCAAATTCTTATATCACAAAATTAGTATTTTCTGCAGTTTATTAGGCTCACTTGGTTTTGCTGGGAACTATAGCAACAAAAAAGAAATCAAAAACATCTCCTAGCTAGTTGCCCTAGATGAAACTTCAGAAACTTCTCCTCTATTTTGGTTTTGGTTTTCTTTATTCTATAAAATATAATATTGTTGGTTTTTTACTGTCGCTGACTAAAAATAACTTGAAGAAAATTGGCTGTCATTAACTGAAGCATTAACTGTGTTTTTTCTTTAACCAGTTGGATCACTGTAACATCAAAATTGTAAGCAGTTGTCTGGTTTGGTGGAATATTACACATATGAGGTTTTTTATGTGTCATTTGCTGAGGTATTAAGCGTGCTCTTCAAGCAGTGTTGTAATACCTGTTAAAATGTTGTTGACACCTGGTAAAGAGTCTGTGTCTATGCATATACATATATATATAAAAAACAGGATTTTAAGTTACTCAGAATCACTGTGGACTTCTAGACAAAATATTGAATAGCATTTTTGTGAAGCCAGTTCTAAATAGCAGTACTTTGGGTGGAATTAGAGATTTAAAAGGGGTATTCAGTTGGAATGTGACTGTCTTTTTTTTTGCCTTTTTTTCCCCCCCTTTTTTTTAAATGGCCTCCAATATGAATGCCTGTCTGTTTCCTCTTCTTTGCCATTGCAGCAGCAATGTGGGGGCTTTTATTCAGTTAATACATAATAAGGGGATGTGTGTGCATATATGTTCACATATGTGCACGTTTATGTAAATATGTAGTGAGGTGTGAAGGCGATTATATTATTTAAAGAATAAGAGATTTTTGATGTTCAAATCTTCAAAGCCACAAACATATTTCATTTAATAAGTTAAATTATTAATAAACTATTAAAATAAGTATTATTAGGGACCTGAGTGAATATGACCATGAAGAAATAGGAATAAAACCTAATGGAGCCCCCAAGAGGAATTCAGGTTCCAGAGCTATCTGTTTCTGAGGTTGTATTTTCCTCTGATAATCACTACAACAACAAAAGCTTTCTATTAAGTTTAGAGACAGATTCTCTTGGTTCCAGTTGTGGCTTTATAAGTTTTATCCATGTGTTAGAGTTGGTACACAATATAATTTCTCAAATTTTATACTGTCTTGAGCTTTGGTAGGTGCATTTTGTCTCAGAAATTGTTTTGGATCTATTGCATACTTTTTTTTCCCTGAATTTAACTTTTTTCTGTGTAATAAATCAATTATTTTGAAGGATTCAGTAATTTTTCTTCAAATCTGTCATTGTATCTTGTAATTGTGTCTTAAGCCACTGGCTAGAGCTGAAGAGGTGGAGTTTGGCAGGTACAGTTGAGTAGTGGATCTGGCAGAGCACAGTATTTTGCATATATCCTCCACAGTTCCCTTCTTATAGTGGCTATAGTGCCAATGTACAGGATCCCTGTTTTGTTTACTTTATTCTGTAACAATCATACCTGTGTGACTCCATTGTGTCAGGTTTGTTTCTAGTATCTCATAATTTTGCTTGAAGATCCCAGTTCAAGTGCAAGGGTAGGTGATCCAATATATGGTATTATTTTAGGAGAGAATTTTGCTAGCTGGTGTTACGACCCGCCCCAGAAAAAGGGGAGGGGGTAACCCAGGTTCTTATCAATAATTCCCTTGGGGTGGATTAGAGTGAAACGACACTGAATAGTCGGTGTCTGAAAACATATATTGGTAAGGTTTATTTTAACAATTTTGTATCAACAGGTATGCTAGCATTTTGGGTGTTGTCATATAACAACGTGGCATAGAGATAACCTTTGGGGGGGGGAGAAAATGCATAGGGGAGAAAGACAGGATAAGAGTAAGGGAGAGTAAGGAAAAAGAAAACAGTGGAAAAAACTTGTATAGTCACCGCCCACAGGGTCCAGCGATGACACTTGGTAGTTCCAGCTTCCATGTCTGTCAGTTGAAGTGGTGGCCTTGATCTGTGGGGGGTGAAGGAGGGAAGCCCCCACACGCCAAGAAGTTATGAGTTGTTATATCCATGGTCAGTGTCACGGGCCATGCTTCCAGCCTCCAAACTCTCCTGGGCCTGCGCAGAGTTTTTGTGCCTGGCCTGGTCCCCGCCTTTCAAGTTGGCAGAGGGGGGGATGGGCTTTGATGGGCCATCAGAGGTATAAGCTCGGCTCTTTCTGCCTTTTCAGGGCTTGACACCTTCAGCACTGGAGGGAGGGATGGGCCCAACTGCCCATCAGAGGTCAAAAGCCTGCAAAAAAGTCTCCTAGAATGCACAAATCATTAACCGTGTCAGTCTCTGACAACTGCAGCTGGTGAGAGCAGTACTGCCTTGATAACGTGGTGTTTAGTCAAAGTAGCTCTGGTTCCTCTGTGTGCTTCTGATCATAGACATATATGCTTGCGTTCCGGTAAGAGAAGGAACAGAATGAGCAACTGAA